ATGCAGACAGGTGCACCCATTGTGAAAAATAGTATGGAGCTTCCTCTAAAAATAAAAGATAGAACTACCCTATAATCTAATGAACACAGTACTGGGTATTTACCCAAAACACATAACAACACTAATTCAATGAGATACATGTCCCCTATGTTGATTGCAGCATTATTTACAATAGCCAAACTACAGAAGCAGCCCAGGTGTTCATCAACAGATTAGCTGATAGAGAAGATGTGGTATATATACGCAATGAAGTATTACTCAGCCATAAAAAGAATTAAATCCTGCGATATGCAACAACGTGGGTGGAGATAGAGTGTATAATGCTAAGCAAAATAAACCAGTCAGAGAAAGACAAATACCACATGATTTCACTCACATGTGCCATTTAAGAAACAAAACAATTATTAAAGGAAAAAAGAGAGACAAACCAAGGAACAAAACAATTATTAAAGGAAAAAAGAGAGACAAACCAAGGAACAATATTCTTAACTCTAGAGAACAAACTGATGATTACTAGACGGGTGGGGTGGTTCAATAGGGGAAACAGGGCAAGGGGATTAAAGAGTGTTTATGATGATATGTGAAGAAGCGTTAACACCTGGTTTTTTTCAAACTATTCCCCAAAAAATAGATGAAGAAGGAAAGCTTCCAGATTCATTCTTTGAAACCAGCATTAGCATAAGAAAACCAGATGAAGACACTACAAAAACAAAAACAAAAACAAAAAACAAAACTACTGGTCAGTATCTCTGATGAACATAGATGCAGAAATCCTCAAGAGAATAGTAGTAAACCAGGTCCAACAATACATCAAAAAAAGTCATTCAACAAGATCAAGTAGGATTTATTCCCAGGATGGAAGGATGGTTCAATATTTGCAAATCAATCAATGAGATATAACATAGTAATTAGAGAAAGGATAAAATTCATATCGTCATTTAAATAGATGCATCAAAAGGATTTGACAAAGTATAACATCCATTCATGATTTTTTAAAAAAAGGCCCTCAACAAGGTAAGTTTAGAGGGACCATACCTCAATATACAAAGACCTTATATGAAAATCCCACATCATACTCAATGGGAAAAAACAGAACATTTCCTCTATGTGAGGAACAAGACAAGGATGTCCACTCTCACCAATTTTATTCAACAAAGGCTGAAAGTCCTAGCCACAGAAGTCAGACAACGAAAAGAAATAAAAGGCTTTCAGTATTTGCAGACGACATAATACTACATAGAAAACCCTGAAGACTCCACCCAAAAGCTACTAGTACTGATAAATTCAGTATAGTTGCAGGATACAAAAATCAGTGTACAGAAATCTGTTGTATTTCTATACACTGTTGATAAAGCAGCAGGAAGTAATTAACAATCCCATTTACAACTGCACCAAAAATAATAAAACACCTAGGAATAAATGTAACTAAAGAAGAAAAAGAAATCAAAGACCACACAAAGAAATGGAAAGACCTTCCATGCTTTTGGATTGAAAGAACAAATATTGCTAAAATGTCTTATACTACCCAAAGCAATCTACAGATCTAATGCAAATCCCTATCAAAATACCAACAGCATTTTTCACAGAACTGGATCAGACAATCCTAAAATTGGTATGGAACCACAAAAGACCCTGAATAGCCAAAGCAATCTTAAAAAGAAAAGGTGGAGGCATCACAATTCCAGACTTCAAGTTACATTGCGGAACTGGTAATGAAAACAGTATGGTACTGGCACAAAAATGGACACATAGATTAATAGAAATGGATAGAATACACAGAAATAAACACACAACTGCATGATCAATTAATCTCTGAAAAAGGAGGAAAGAATGTGCAATGGGAAAAAGTCTGATCAACTGGTGTTGGGAAAACTGTACAGCAACATGCAAAAGAATGAAACTGGACCATTTTTTTCACTACACACAAAAATAAAGGCAAAATGGCGTGAAGACCTAAATGTGAGACCTGAAACCATAAAAATCCTAGAAGAGGGCACAGGCAGTAACTTCTTTGACATCATCTATAATAAAATTTTTCTAGATACTTCTCCTGAGGCAAGGGAAATAAAAGGAAAAATGAACAATTGGGACTACTAAATTAAAAGTATCTGCACAGCGAAGAAAACTCTCTACAAAACTAAAAGGCAGCCTATGGAATGGGAGAAGAAATTTGCAAATGACCTATCTGTTAAAGTGTTAGTATCCAAAATACACAAAGAACTTACTCAACACCCAAAACACAAATAGCCCAATTAAAAAATGGGCAAAAGATATGAACAGACATTTCTCCCAAGGACATCCAGATGGCCAATAGACACATGAAAAGATGCTCAACATCAGTCATCATCAGGGAAGTACAAATCAAAACCATCATGAGATATCACCTGTCGGAATGGCTAAAGTCAAAAATTCAAGAACAAGTGTTGGCAAGTATGTGGAGAGAAAGGGACCTTCATGCACTGTTGGTGAGAATGCAAACTGGTGCAGCCACTGTGGAAACAGTGGTTTCTTTAAAAACTAAAAATAGAACTACCCTAAATACCCAGTAATTGCACTGCTGGATATTTACCCAAAAAATACAAAAACACTAAGTCAGAGGCACATATGCATCCCCATGTTTGTTGCAGCATTATTTACAATTTCCAAATTATGGAAGCAGCCCAGGTGTCCTTCAGTAGAGGAAGGGATAAAGAAACGGGGTGTGTGTGTGTGTGTGTGTGTGTGTGTGTACACAAGGGAATATTACTCATCCATGAAAAAAGAATGAAACCTTGACATTTGCAACAACATGGATGGATCAGAGAACGTGATGCTAAGCAAAATAAGTCAGAGAAAGAGAAATACCATATGATTTCACTCACACGTGGAATTTAAGAAACAAATGAGCAAAGGAAAAAAGGAAGAAACAAAGAAACAGACTCTTAAATATAGGGAACTAACTGATGGTTACCAGCGATTATTTGGGTGGGGGCAATGGGTAAAATAGGGGATGGGGATTAAAGGTGATGGGAAAAAGCAAAAACTAAATAAATAAAAATAAGAGAAAAACAAGAAAGAAAAGGGATTTCTCTAAATTACTTTCCACCATTAGCTAGTGATTTGCCTTAACTTGGGTAAATTTTCCATATTTTTAAATGAAGCATCTGAAGTTTTGAAAAGTTGGTGAATTGGCCAGGAGTTACTCAGGGGTTTTGGGTGAGATTGTTTTAAAACAAGACTAGAAACCAGCTGTTCTGTTTCTAGTCAGGTACCTTCAGCACACCATGCTGCCTTTGGTTCTGCTCTGCCATGGCTCGTGCAGCCTGTGGTCACTTCTGTGTGCACCATTCTCACATCAACCATATCAATTTTGACACCTATTGAACAGTACATTCAACATTTATGTTATACACACACACACACACACACACACACACACAAACACACACACAAAATGATCTGTGGCTCTCTTTATAAAGGAGATGGTGGTGTACTGTTGTTGATCATTTATTTTTGAGTACATACTTTTAAACCTTGCATAGTGAAAGCAGATGGGATGATTTTTTTTTTTTTTAATTTCCCCTGGAAACCTGCAGAGCGGATGTTTTGAGTCCTTTTTTGCCAGGTGGATATATCAGTATGATGTTGGCAGGGGCACCTGTGTTATGTAGGTGGATATTCACACAATTCCCAACCCTAAGGATTCTTGAGTCTTCAGTCAAAGGAGATTTAAAGGATTTTAAGAAAATACATTTCCTAATTTAATTAGGTATCCAAGTTAAGACAACATAAAGGCAGCCAAATGGTTGATGGAGGAATATGAACAAGTGGTCCTCTCTACCTATTTGGATAGACATGTTTAGAAAAATGGCATTCAGGGGTGCCTGGGTGGCTCAGTCATTAAGCGTCTGCCTTCAGCTCAGGTCATGATCCCAGGGTTCTGGGATCGAGCCCTGCATCGGGCTCCCTGCTCAGCAGGAAGCCTGCTTCTCCCTCTCCCACTTCCCCTACTTGTGTTCCCTCTTGCTGTCTCTCTCTCTGTCAAATAAGTAAATAAAATCTTTAAAGAAAAAAAAAAGAAAAAGAAAAATGGCACTCAGGTAATAACATTTTCCAGTTACATTATTTTAATTAGGATTAAGATTAGATAGTAAATTGTTTTTGCTAATCTGTGCTTTTGTTTTAGGATAGTCTATAAAAGTATACATAAGTCAGTTGAGAAATTCTACTTTTTACTCCAAGAAAATATAAACAAAAATAATATAAGGACTTCTGGAAGAAAATTAATTTGGAGAATTTTTATGAGGGTACCTAATGTCTGCCTTACACAGTGCCAGGTACTGTGAATTATAGAAATGAAGGGTACCTGCTCTCACTTCATTCATAATCCCCTGAAAAGTGACATTTTAACAAAAATACTGTTACAGTGTGGCAAGATCTGCAACTGAGTTACCACAGGTTGCCATAGGAATAATAATATCTAAAATTATAATCCAGTTGGTGGGTGTTGAGGGGAAATACCAAGAGGAGGTCTTTTATATTCTGAGATTTTAATGATTTCTAGAAACTTTGAAAAGCTATAGATGATCTGGTACATGAGCCTTTTAAGCTTTCTCTTAGATTAATATATACTTCCAAAATGCCTCTTTGCTTTCCCAGTCCTTAAGTCATGTCTATAGAGCCATGCTTCCTGGGTTCAGATTCTTGTTCTCTTCTCTTCCTAGTTGTGTGACCATGAGTGGATTACTTTCTGTGCTTCAGTTTTATAAAAAGACAAGAGTCATAGTACCTGTCTCGCAGGATTATTGGGAGGATTAAGTGAGATAGTACATGGAAGACATTTTTGGAATACTGCCTGTTTTTGTTAAAGTCTCAAGAAAATTTTAGTTCTCATTATTATTAATTTTGGAAGTTAATAAACCAGGAACATTGAAACACAATTACCATGTTGATCATTTTGATTCTTTCTAAAATGCTGCTTTCTGTCAAATAAAATTTTCCATTTTTTTTCCCCTTTCTAGCTCCAAGAGGAAAGCGAGGATGGAAAACTTTTTATGCTGTACTAAAAGGAACAGTCCTTTATTTGCAAAAGGTAAACATAAATTAAAAATGAAGCCCATAAAACTTTATGAAATAATTTGACAAGGTAGCCAGAAAATATTTACTTTGTACAAAGAGCCTACATCGAACACCCAAAAAATTACTTAATTGATGTCTAAATTCCTTGTTCATTTTTTTGTTGTTGTTTCTGGTTAAAATTTATTTTAGAAATTATATGTATGTAACTATATATATTATATAAAGTATTTTATACACAAAATATTTGATATGTATGTTATAGTATATATTAAATATAAATATGTGTGATCAGAGCTGTGTTCCATTTGTGTTCAGTTAGAAATTTTGAATACAGGCTGATAAGTCAGACTGCAAATGGTCTATGTAGATACGGTCCTGTGGCAGCACTTGTTTCTTGGTTATTTATACTATAGATTAGTTAGATCTGCCATTTATCTCTTTCACTAATACTATGAAATAGAATATCTTTATTTAATTATTTGCCTTCATTTAAATCTTACCTAAATCTAGAAACACACTTCAGTCAAGTCCTGAAGCCTTGATACTTAATATAATCCAAATTATCTGGGGAAGTTTTTAACCGGACCATTTCCTGCCTGGATCCTTTCTTCTAAATCCCAGAATCTGGAAATCTATTTGGGATCAAGTTTGTATGTTCTGGCCTTTGAAAAGTAATCCCTGGAGCTTCTACCTCCCTAGCTCTGTGTGTGTAAATATGAGAAATTTGTGTGTTGACTGGAATGAGGTCCACCCCTTCCCAGGGCCAAACAGGATTCCAGCTCTAACTGTGAAGGGTGCTTGGGATTCAGGCAAATAGCAAGGCAATAACAACACTGCCCTCAATGATGACTGATAGGAAAAGTCATTTTTTTAACGGTGATCAAAAACACATAACCCTCAATTTTTAAGTGCACAGTAGATAGTATTAACTGTCAGCACAGTGTTGTACAACAGATCTCTAGAAATTTTCCATCTTGCATGACAAATACCAAGTAAACAGCAATTCTCCCACTACCCCTCTCCCCAACCCCTGGCAACCACTATTCCACCCTCTGTTTCTGAGTTTGGCTATTTCATGTAAGTGGAAACGCATAGTATATTTGTCCTTCAGTGACTGGCTGGTTTCATTTAACATAGTATGATGAAGGTTCATCCATTTTGTAGTCTATGACAGAATTCCCTTCTTTTTTTAATGGCTAAATAATAGTCTATTTTTTACTTCATTTTCTTTCTTCATTCATTCATGCATAGATCTTTATGTTGTTTCCACCTCTTGGTCATTGTAAATAATGCTGAAGTAAACATGGAATGCAAATCTCTTTTTGATATCCTGATTCAATTACCACTGATAAAGGTAACACAGAAGTGAGATCACTGGATCATATGGTAGTTCTATTTATTTTGTAAAGAATATCTATACTGTTGTCCATAGTGGCTGAATTATTTTCAGTTCCCACCAACAATGCACAGGAGTTCTAATTTCTCCACATGCATGTTAGCACTTCTTATCCTCTGTTTTTTTGTTTCGTTTTGTTTTTAATAATGGCCATCCTAATAAGTATGAGGCGATATCTCATTTTAGTTTTGATTTACATTTTCCTGATGATTTGTGATGTCAAGCATCTTTTCACATACCAGTTGGCCATATGAATGTTGTCTTTGTAGAAATGTCTCTCCAAGTCCTTTGCCCATAATTTATTCAGATGATTTGTTGTTTTTCTTTTGTTTGTTTTTTGCTATTGAGTTATAGGACTTTCTTACATATTTTGATGTTAACCCCTTATTGTATATATGGTTTTCAGATATTTCCTCCCATTTTATAGGTAGCCTTTTCAATCCCTTGTTTCCTTTGCTGTACAGAAGATTTTTATTTTTGTGTAGTCACACTTGTTTATTTTTGCTTCTATTGCCTGTGCTTTTGGAATCACATTCAAGAAATCATTGCCAGTGTCAATGCCAACAAACTTTTCAGCTGTTTTCTTCTAGTTTTATAGTATCAAGTCTACATTTGAGCCTTTAATCTATTCTGAGTTAACTTTTGTTTAGGGTATAAGATGAAATGTCATTCTTTCATATGCGGATACCCATTTTCCTAGTACTATTTGAAAAAGGAATTATCTTTTCCCCCTTGTGTACTGTTGGCACTCTGCTGGAAATCAGTTTACTGTATACACATAGGATTATTTTTGGGTTCTCTTCTCTGTTAAGTTTGTCTGTATGTCTGTCCTTACACCAATACTATAATGTTTTAATTACTGTAGCTTTGTAATATATTTTGAAATTAGGAAATGTGAGGCCTCTAAATTTGTTCTTTCTCAAGATTGTTCTGACTATTCAGGATCCTTTCTAGTTCCATATGAATCTCAGGGTGGGTTTTCTATTTCTATAAAAAAATGCCATTGGGATTTTGATAAGTATATTGAATCTGTAGGTGACTTTGAGGAATATAAACATTTTTTTAAATTTTTAAATTTTTTAATTTTTTACAAACATATAATGTATTATTAACCCCAGGGGTACCTGTGAATCACCAGGTTTGCACACTTCACAGCACACAACAGCATCCTTCTAAAGAATGAATGGGTCAACCAGGAAATTAAAGAAGAATTGAAAAAATTCATGGAAACAAATAATGAAAACACAACAGTTCAAAATCTGTGGGACACAGCAAAGGCAGTCCTGAGAGGAAAATATATAGCGGTACAAGCCTTTCTCAAGAAACAAGAAAGGTCTCAAATACACAACCTAACCCTACACCTAAAGGAGCTAGAGAAAGAACAACACAGAAAGCCTAAACCCAGCAGAACAAGAGAAATAATAAAGATCAGAGCAGAAATCAATGAAATAGAAACAAAAAAAAAAAAAAAAAAATAGAACAAATCAACAAAACTAGGAGCTGGTTCTTTGAAAACATTAATAAGATTGATAAACCCCTGGCCAGACTTATCAAAAGAGAAAGGACCCAAATAAATAAAATCATGAATGAAAGAGGAGTGATCACAACCAACACCAAAGAAATACAAACAATTATAAGAACATATTATGAGCAACTCTATGCCAAAAAATCTGATGATCTGGAAGAAATGGATGCATTCCTAGAGACATATAAACCACCACAACTGAACCAGGAAGACAGAAAACCTGAACAGACCCATAACCAGTGAAGAGATTGAAACAGTCATCAAAAATCTCCAAACAAACAAAAGCCCAGGGCCAGACGGCTTCCCAGGGGAATTCTACCAAACATTTAAAGAAGAACTAATTCCTATTCTCCTGAAACTGTTCCAAAAAAGAGAAATGGAAGGAAAACTTCCAAACTCATTTTATGAGGCTAGCATCAGCTTGATCCCAAAACCAGACAAGGATCCCATCAAAAAAGAGAACTACAGACCAATATCCTTGATGAACACAGATGCAAAAATTCTCACCAAAATACTAGCCAATAGGACCCAACAGTAGATTGAAAGGATTATTCACCATGACCAAGTGGGATTTATTCCAGGGCTACAAGTTTGGTTCAACATCCGCAAATCAATCAATGTGATACATTAATAAAAGAAAGAACAAGAACTATATGATACTCTCAATAGATGCTGAAAAAGCATTTGAGAAAGTACAGTATCCTTTCCTGATCAAAACTCTTCGAAGTGTAGGGATAGAGGGGACATACCTCAATATCATCAAAGCCATCTATGAAAAACCCACCCACCGCAAATATTCTCAATGGAGAAAAACTGAGAGCATTTCCGCTAAGGTCAGGAACATGGCAGAGATGTCCATTATCACCACTGTTATTCAACATAGTACTAGAAGTCCTAGCCTTCTAGTGTTTTTTCATTATTTGTTTCCATGAATTTTTTCAATTCTTCTTTAATTTTCTGGTGACCCATTCATTCTTTAGAAGGATGCTGTTTAGTCTCCCTGTATTTGGGTTCTTTCCAAATTTCCTCTTGTGATTGAGTTTTAGCTTCAGAGCCTTGTGGTCTGAAAATATGCAGGGAATGATCCCAATCTTTTGATACCAGTTGAGACCTGATTTAGGACTGAGGATGTGATCTATTCTGGAGAATGTTCCATGTGCACTAGAGAAGAATGTGTATTCTGTCTCTTTGGGATGGAATGTTCTGAATATATCCGTGATGTCCATCTGGTCCAGTGTGTCATTTAAGGCCTTTATTTCCTTGTTGAACTTTTACTTGGATGATCTGTCCATTTCAGTGAGGGGAGTGTTAAAGTCCCCTACTATTATTGTATTATTGTCGATGTGTTTGATTTTGTTATTAATTGGTTTATATAATTGTCTGCTCCCATGTTAGGAGCATAGATGTTTAAAATTGTTAGATCTTCTTGTTGGATAGACCCTTTGAGAATGCTATAGTGTCCTTCCTTATCTCTTATTATAGTCTTTGGCTTAAAATCCAATTGATCTGATATAAGGATTGCCATCCCAGCTTTCTTTTGATGTCCATTAGCAAGGTAAATTGTTTTCCACCCCCTCACTTTAAATCTGGAGGTGTCTTTGGGTCTAAAGTGAGTTTCTTGTAGGCAGCATATTGATGGGTTTTGTTTTTTTACCCATTCTATACCTTGTGTCTTTTGATTGGGGCATTTAGCCCATTTACATTCAGGGTAACTATTGAGAGATAAGAACTTAGTGCCTTTGTATTGCCTGTAAGGTGACTGTTACTGTATATTATCTCTGTTCCTTTCTGATCTACTACTTTTAGGGTCTCTCTTTGCTTAGAGGACCTCTTTCAATATTTCCTGTAGAGCTGGTTTGGTGTTTGCAAATTCTTTCAGTTTTTATTTGTCCTGGAAATTTTTAATCTCTCCTTCTATTTTCAATAATAGCCTAGCTGGATATAGTATTCTTGGCTGCATGTTTTTCTCATTTAGTGCTCTGAATATATCATGCGAGTTCATTCTGGCCTGCCAGGTCTCTGTGGATGAGTCCGCTGCCAATCCAATATTTTTACCATTGTATGTTACAGACTTCTTGTCCTAGCCTGCTTT